TAAGTATCCAAACTTGATAATTCAGTCTAAAAGTATAAATTTAAAATATGGTAGATATATATTCATGCCATTATAAAATCAAAGTAGATATCTATATTAATGAATGACATACCTTAGCAGTGTGGATTAAGGCTTGAAGTTCGTTTTTGTTTTGTACATTGCTGTCCAGTCGATCGATACGCAAAAACGACATCAAACGACTTTTGATTGCGGCTATGTCGGTCTTTAGCAATTGGATTTTCTCTTGTTTTGAGATATCCAGTTCCAAACGTTCACACTTTTTGACCATACCTGAAAACAAACAAGGATAATACGATTACCATAAAATTAACTATAGAACAATAGTAAGCTTAAATAATAACTAATATGAGAACAAATACATACATAATAATCAATATTAATAGGTATTATATAGATTTAACGCCGAGAACTATAATTTTCTAATAAAAAAAATTTATTAAAAAAACATTTTTTTTTTTTTTGAAAATCTCGTGTTTTATCTTTATAGTCATTATTGTAATACTGCATTTGTATAAGAAAATTAATTTTTACAACCTTAAAAACTTTTTAAGCCTGTATACATTTGTAATTCAAGTCAAAAGTAAAATAACTTTCAATGTTTATTAATAAAATAAAATAAAATATTTATTTAATAWGTATCCAACACACATCGAATTATTTAGAAAAAWATATTTTTTTTACAGGTATAAAATCAAATTTAGGTAGCTAATAATTATTGTATTGTATTATGAAAATCTAAATTTAAAAATCAATTAATTTATTCTTGTGAGAAAAAAAATCTGTACGTTTAGAATATATTAATTTGTAACTTGTAATGTCTTGCATTGACWGGATATCAAAACAYCAAAAGAACATTAGTCATAATTTTCTTTTWACCTTACACACACGTTTTTACCTTCGTTGTCTATTACGCAAGCTATAGTGTTATTTAGTTCGATGATGCATCTCCTCAACGTTTCCGTTTCTTTAGATCGGTAATTTCTAACCCTATCTTTCATCACATCAAATCTCTGATCAATATCGATTTCGGGAAACTCGTCGTCAACAACAGCAGATGATTTGTTTGGGCAAGCTGMCGTTGGGGTWCGGTAAAAACTCGTCTTTTTCGGAGTCGATCGATGAAGCCGCTCCACGCCGTTCTTTATCTGCTGGAAACTCTCGTCTAGGCTACAGTCAAAAACGCTGGAAGTATCCGTTTCGTCCGAGCTTGTGTTGAATTCTAACCGCTGTGACTCCAAATCAAACAACGGCATTTCAAAATCAGACGTGCCACCGTCGTTGTCCAGTTTAAGGTCCATGTGAAATTATTATTACTAMATTCACAATTCAAATGCGGTATTTTTTTTTAATGAGCCAGCGGACCACGGAGCAGTTGTATATAAATAGAACTGAATACACCACAAATATCTTTTCTAGCGGTTCTAGGCCAACGTATATTAGGTTATTTTGTCATCATTCGCACAACGTAAACCAGTACATTGACATTTTCTGTAAGATACATTATTATATTTATCTTGGTGTTATGGAAATTCGCGCTTTTTTGTGATATGGTACGGTTCATTTTG